CCACTAACACCAGGTTTACATAGATTTTATAAATGAGAGAAAGGTCTAGCTTTAGTTAACATGACAATGCACACAAGAAACCATCTTACAAAGAACGCAGAGCTCATCATCTTCATACCTAGATTAATAAATTCATATAACTAATTCAGCCTTTTAAAAACAAACCAGGACATCTTGATTCAAATCGAAACAAATGCCAGAATCTCATGCACAGACATGTCTCTTCAGTAGTGCATTAGAATTAAAACGGGCTCCTTCTGCTCACACTGCAGTACATACACCTCTCACCTCAGTATACCATGTACACCGTGGTGTGAAAGAGACACCAAATTTTACAGTGCCTGCATACAAGTTACCAAGGCAAACTAGCAAAGTTAAAGTGAAAACTGCCTGCAGAGGCACTCAGATACTGACAGCTTTTCTGGTTAAGAATGTTAAAATTACTCCCCCTTAATTATCTGTACAAAAACCAGGAGCACTGCAAAAGCAAAATAAGCGCAATAATTTTCGCCTTCTGGTATAGCAATGAAATACAGATAAAATGAACCAAAATGTGGAAACAGAAATATTTGTTCAGAATCTACAGCTTTTAAAGCAAAGTGCAAATAAAATAGCTTTTCAAATCTGTCAGGCTACAAAGTGTTGTATTAAGCACAGGCAAAACTCACTGGAGTGATCACACACCCAGAGAACAGACAAAACTTGTCATTTGAGAACACTACATCAAATCTGGAGCACACTGTGAAGCTACCCAGCTTGGTGAAGAAGCACCCACGGGGCTTAGCCTAACTGTACCAGCACCAACTCTATCACCACTGTTGTATCTTTCCCTACATGCCACTGCATTCAGTCAGCATACACCCTGAGCGTACCTTTACTCACAGGTGTTAGGATGTTTGTTTCTTAACAAAGATTGCTCTTAAAAACACCACCGATAAAATGTTGTCTCTAACCACTAGGTGTCAGCAGAAGAAAGTGCACAGCCAACGTCTTTGATGCAGGAAACTTGAGTCTCATTTCCCCTGTTACCAGTATATACACAACTATTAAGTGCTACAAACCACCTTTACAAACACAGTAATTAAACAGCTATTTCTGTTGAAGATTACCTACTTAAATATTTAGAAGATAAAAACATTCCTTCTGCAAACAGCAAAAAATCAAATTAAGGAAAAAGTGATTCAAGTGAACAAAATGCTCACACTAGCGTCACTGTCAGAAACTTAGGTAATATTCATGAAGATAACAGTCTGCCTCAGTACATACAAGTAAATACACTGCTTCTAAACATGTTTTACCGTACTTACTAACAAGAGGACAGTGGAGACTGTAAGTACATCACATGCAACAAATACTCTTCCACACTTAAAATCTGGCTTTAACACAACTACAGAAAACAAATATACAGTAGGAAACATAACTGAACCTCATTACCTAAATCTTATGATTAGACTTGCAAACTGCAGTAGCTGGATACGTCTTTACAGGCAAAAGTTCTAGTTACTGAAAGCTTCAAAGTTTATGGCAACACTAACTCATGCACTGTTGGTTTACTGGTTCATACATACATAAAATATATTTGTATCTTTAAAATAAAAGCTTATGAACAGAGTAGGAGCTCTTATTATGCTGAAGTATAATGTGAATTTAAAGTCTGCTCTGTGACACATTCTGAGCCTACAGAGAATAATGAAAAATAGTTTCACACCACTTATCCCAAAAAGTCAACTTGTACTAGATGAGATGGACTATGAAATTAAATTGTCTTATTGAGACAAAAAGTATGAAAGGAGGAAAAGCTGCTGCTGCTTTTAATTTATTTCCTAATTATAAATGATTTTAAATGAACAGTCAGATTTTTCAAATTATGGGACATCAAATGCAAAGAACCACATTCATGTCTGGTGTTGCTTATGCAACGTGTTGCTTGCCACACGTGAGGGTGGCAAGAGAAAAATCACAATGGAGGCATTTGAAAATATGTACTGTTCTTAGAATATATTTTCTTTTTGGGTTTCTATTTGTCTCGGACACACCGAAATGAATTTACTTGCAACCGTTACACCAGTAACAGTTTCAAACTATTTTCTCCAAGACATTAAAATTTTAAAGCAAATTATGACAACCACTGTGGGCTGTGGATTGTGATACATCAGTGGAGAACAATCAAAGAGCTGCTGCATACATTTTAATACCCTTCCACTATTCAACAAGAACTCCCATCACTCCATATCTATACATGAAGATGTGTATCATGACCACTCCGAGTACCTGTTAGTGTGTGATTCACAAACCCAGCAAACTGAGCTCATCAGCTGACAGGAAATAACAATGAACAGAATTGCTGTATAGAAGATGGAATTGCACGAGAGTACAGAAGACTATTTCAAGTGCAGCATTTGAAGTGCAGCACAAGAGAGAAACACAGGGATTTAAATTACAAGGTGCCTTTACTAATTGCCAGTTACAATACTCTGTTATTAAATTAAAATCCCATTCTCTTTTCTGAAGCTAGCAATACATTTCCTAATTTGTTTTACTCATTACACACTATTGTTTGGAGTTTTGCTGCATCTTCTTAAGAGCAGTTTTTCCAAGGGTACTGAACTAGTTTTTAAGTGTGATGTTCCTAGCACTAACACCAGTCCCTTGGCAACAGCATTTATTGTTGGTATATTCTAAACTGGAAGTGAGGTATAAAGTAGTTGTATGACCTGTCCAATACCTCACAGGATGTCTGTGGTAAAACTGGAAACAGAATGCTAGTCATTTCACTCTGACACGTTTAGCACATGAAACACTTGCAAATTTTCTTTATCTAAATCTTAATATAGAAATGTATAATCAGAAATTGAATTAATTTAATGTATAGAAGGACTTGGCAAAGAAAGCCCTGAAAATTTCCGCTTCCTATTAAAATTGGATTTAATGACATATTTGTGCAATTACGTTTACAAGTCTTCTTGATGGAATGATAAGCAAAACAATTTCTTTTGCTTCCTCAGGACTGCTGTCCCTCAAAGTTGCACTTTCCAGGGGTGTGCCATTGTCAACTGATTTTGAATGTTCATCTTTAACATTCAGCCTTCAAAATACCAGATGGTATTTCCAGAAAAGCAACTTAAATTTTTATTTTTCTTCACAAATCCCTTAACTAGTTAATCTCACACACACATTCAGGCAAAGCATACACCAATATTCCCAGAGTTGCCTGGCAACTAGTGGGAGGAGCATGGGAGAACAAGGAAGCCTGCATGGATGAAGGGAAGTCAGTATCTCCCCAGCACAGATAAAGGAGGCTTACAGCCAGAGTGCCTTGCTAGTTTAATTTTTGTTATTTATATGTACAACATTTTAAACACCTCCCATTATTATACCTTAGATGCTTTAAAAACCCAATACTTAGACCCAGACAATCACAGACAAGTCAAAACAATTTATTTTTAATACAGACACAACACATGGATTCCCCCAGTAAGCTATGGAAGGACTCATGCTGACTTCAAAAGTCATTTCTGAACCCTGAATATGAATTGCTGGAATGATGCTTATTTGATGGTGATAACTAGACGGCTTAAAATTCAGAGTAAGCTATTTTTTCCTTCTGGTTGTAAAAATAACAACACAAACTATAGTACTGAAGAGACTTTAGTTACTGAAACACCCTCAACCTTAAGAAGAAACACTATGATTGTAGTCCAACTGTTTTTTTCCCCTTTAACACCATGATTAAAATTAGATATATTATTTGTCTGCTAGCAGATTTCTTCATTAATCTTCACAGAGCAGGAGAATGCAAAATACAACACCTCAACTAGTAAGCCTTCATTTTCACTCCACTCATTTAGCCTCCCCCCTTACACTCAGAACTCAGCTTCTCCCAGGGGTACTGAAACTCTCCACTGCTACCAGCAATGTTCCATTCTGCCTCCCAATGCTTGCAGATGAAAGAATGTATTAAGACAAAAGTATGTTTTGTCCTTGACAGAGATCTTCTCGTTAAGCAGCCACAGGTCTTAAACAACAGTACTCCAAATCAGCATTTGTGGTGCACACATTTTAGTTCACCTGCTTCTGGAACAGGGATACTAGGATGTTCTGGAAATATTTTGTGGATTGCTCTGTAATTAGTACTTTTCATCCGTCATATATCTGGGACATATCTCATGACTTACACCTGAATATTCGTCATACTATTGACCCAGTCTCTGACTATCAGCAAAAGATACACACTTTAAAAGGAACCCACAAAGTACACAACAGTAAAAGCAGAGTGTCACAAAACATGTGGAAATACATCAAATTTGTCTGCACTGATTCGTATCAAAGTCCATGAAGCTACTTGCAGTAAGCCAGGAACAGATGCCTCACTAGAAGCAATAAAACATATGATGAAGTACAGAAAAAACCTTCCCTTCTCAGATGGCACCTAATCGTTGCAAAACAGAAATCAGCTCTGAAACAAAACCAAGAGATTGAATTTTCCTAACAGATCATTTATCGTCAACAGTTACAACTCCAGACATTCTTCATATTTCTGTAAAAGCATAATTTCTTTACTACTTATGTTCTTAAACTTCATGATTCTATAAATTTGCACATATCACAGTTAAGCATAAATAGTGTAAAAAGTATCTTATTAACTTTAAAATAATACAGCAAATACCCAGGTTTTGCAGAGAGAGGAAACTTTGTCCATTCTGCACTAGTCTCCTATGATCACTAATTTACACACTTATCATCTCTTGTCTAACTTAGCTGTCTTCAAACCCAAGCAACACCAACACCTTTCCATAGTCGTTTTCTCCCTGCACGATTGATCATGCTTGCTACACCTCTTTCTGGTTTGGAAAGTGGAACACTGTTTTCACTACTACTCAGCCAGACAGCCACAGTGCTGGCCTTAGTAAAAGCAGGCTATACTACACTTTGAAACCTTGTTAGTTTCCCCACTATAGCTGCAGATTTACATATCTTATGCTTACTGAGTTCTTACTTACAGGTTCAATTTTCAGGGCATTTCTGTAGCTCCCAAAGAAAGATGCTTGTGCTTTGAGAAATGCTCTCGCAACACCATCTCCAGTGGTTGTAGAGACTTTCTTCAATCTGCTCTTCAGTGCAGAAACCTGAAATCACACAAGAAGACCAGATCACGCTCTTATCAAAACCAAAGCTTGACACATTGGGGCACTGCTAAATGAAAAATGTGCTAACCACAGCAGCAGTTATGACAAAAAGTGACATGGTGAATTCAGAGTTGAATTTTTCAGTTCTAAAAGCATTACTTTTTAAGCTCTTTTGCTTCTCTAAGGTACGGTTGGATTCTATTCAGAAACCAACAGGAAAATAAAAAGCTCCATTTCAACCTTCCCTCCTACTTATAATCAGCTGTTAACATGCCGTTGAGTACTCTCTTGCAGGTAGTCCATGAAGTTCTGCATCTTGATTAGGATCCATGGAAGAATTTCAGCTAAATTAACATCATCATTTCAAACATCACATTAATAGGGAAACTGTTCAGCGCAATCAGGCCATCCATCACCACCAAAGGTAAGAACAGATTCTGTACGACTGAAAAACGTGTTTGCCACAAATACAGGTTTTGTTGGTTTTTTCTCTTTTAAGGTTATATTGCCTTGTATTTCAGAGGAGAACACCGAAATGAGAGCTTTATTTGTGCATATGGCAGGTTCCCCTGGCTGGCTCCCAGACTCCCACCCAGCTGCTCCCTCACGCCCCTCCTCAGCAGGACCTGAAGAGAAAACACACAGAAAAAGCTTGTGGGCAGAGATAAAGATAAGGAGATCACTCACCAATTAAGCATCACTGGCAAAACGGGCTCAACTTAGGGAAGCTAATGTAATTTATTGCCAATTAAAATAGAGTTGGGTGCTGAGAAATAAACTAAAACACCTTCTTCCCCTCCACCTTTTTCCCTCTCAACTCTCCTACCTCCTCCCTCAGCGGCACACGGAGATACGAGTCCACCATAGCTCGCCCCCGAGCTTTCTTCCTCACCCTTTTACTCTCCTCACGCCCCTTCTTACACCTGCTTGAGGGGCAGCGCCATCCCTGCCGTGCCCGGCCGGCTCTGCCGCGGAACCGGCTGGAACCGGCTCTATCCTGCGCCGGCCTCTCCTCACAGCGGCCCTGCCGACGCCTCCCCGCAGCAGCCGGTGCAATAGAGAGCACACACCCCGCAGGTGTTGCAAGTCTCGATTTAACGACATTTTGGCGACCGAAGGGGGGTTTTCTCCCTGATTCCCACTACATGTGAACCACCTGTGTGCGGATGGCTCTGCTCTTAACCCTCACTTGCCCTCTCCCACCGTGGAGGTGTTTGATTACCTCAGGATTCACAGAGCTGCACGTAAGGCAAACGCAGCCCTAAGCGTCTCAATGCCGTTTCCACAGACACCAGTCACAACAAATCCCAACGAACACATCCATGCAGAGTTAAAACTACCACGATCCAGGTTACCTGAATACTCTTTGCTTTCTGTGTACACCAAGAGCTAAAGTTTTAGAGGATTATCCATTACTGGATTATCCACAACTGTTCTGTGCCTCAGAATTTCTCGCACATTCAAGAAGGTTGTGACTTAAGTTTGATGCCTCTTTTCTAGTCCTCAGAGCTCAGTAAATACTGAAGTAAGGTTGGGTATCTATATATTATTGTTTGTGACAGCGTTCTTTTCCAACACAAGCTGAGAAAGGAGATAAAAACCCCTTTCAAACACAAACATCAAGCTCGCTGTGTCTGTGCTGCAACACTTTCCGGTTACCTTAAATCATTAACAAATAGTTATGTCAGTTTCCATTTTTCAGTGTCGCAGACAGAGCCAGGACAAGCTAAGGTCTGAGCTATCTCCCACACAACACACAGCAATACAAACCCAACAGTCTGGGCACCGGTTCTTAAAAGGAATCCAACTTCGTGCTTTTAGAGGCTGTGGTCATGTTGTGCAAAACCTGAGCTTGATGAGAGACCTTCTGCAGAAGACTGGAAGGAAGCACAGCTCCAGAAGGAAAGCAGAAAGCCAGGAAATCCCCAGCCCTCTGAATTTGCAGAAGAACATTCATGACTCCATAAGTACCCATATTGTGAACACAACAGAAATAATTCCATCAATAACCAGCAAATCTGCCTTTTTCAAAAGCATGCAGTACATGACACCAGATTTAGTCAATCACGCCCATGAAATAAGATCACTCCTATTCACTGAGAGAACATTTCTCAAGGAGCTTTGTTATTCTTGAAATCTAAAAGCTTCATTAGATTTTCAAACCTGAATGGCACACTTCTCCATGTTTGAAGGGGTCTGATGCTGAAGGGATGAAATACACATGTACTTCCTATAGCAATTTACGTAAACCATTTAAAGGTAGCTCTTTAAAGTGCAATAAAATGTCCACAGCTCTAAGTAACTTCCAAATCCATCTCAAACATTGTTAAAAGTGATTTTCACATTCATGTAGAGATAAAGAACTTCCCATTTATATAAGAAGAGCTCTATGCTCCATTTTACAACAAAGTTCAGGAAGCTAGTCACAGCCTTTCTGTGTTTCAGCTTTCCTATTTGGTATAGAAGCAGAATATTGATATGTATTTTGCTACCTCCTAAAGCTTTCAGATCATTTGTTCTCTTTTAAGACTAAATCAAACACTGTCGGATGTCTATTTCATGTGTGTACACTTTTAATGTTTCAATCAGGATTATGGCAATAGGCATGTCATAGTGCTTTTTAAAAAGACAAAACTGTTAACAACAACATACTTAAAGAGACTAACAAGAAAAAAATAACTCATGTTTACTCTGGAATACTTTAGTACATAAGACAAAGTAGATTATACAAGCACAACTATGATTCTTTCCTGCCTAAAGAGGCAGGAATCCTAAAAACCAGGCTGTGACCACAAAGATGAAGATTATTTCTAGCCAACCAGACACATATACATGCAGTCTATCCTGAGAGTGTTTTTAAAGACGATTTTTATACTTCTGGCAGTTCAGGTTTAAAGGTCCGATTTAAACTATCACCATGTTTCAAAATGCAATCTGTGCACTGCAGCATAATGAAACGGTTCAGTAAAGGTGCTAGTGAAAATTCTTTTAATTAGGTCCAAGGCTTTTCTGTTGTCAACATGAATAAAGCAAGGAACATTCTATTGCAAACACAGTGTAAGAAATCAAAACAGATTCACCTTTAAGGAAACGGCTGTGCTATAGAGTTGTAGCTTAGTGCTTCGTGCTGTCCTGAAAGCAGTTAATTTCCTGCTAAGTGAAAAAGAGTAGCATAGGCTTCCTACTTGTGGTAACTTGTTAATGAATGGACAACAGCAGCATACACAAGGAAATTATTGACAGCCTGAGATATTCATAGGCTAGTGCAAATTTACAATACGCTCAGAGCCACCAGATACACAAGATATCTTTGGCCCAGTACACAGCATTGTATCAGGGCTTCATTTAATAGAAACTGCAATCTGACAGAGCAAGCTTACGCTTTATTCTTTGTAATAAGAAGCTCTGACTACAACGAAGACTAGAAGATGACACTTATTTGGAAATACATGAAAAATCCATAAGGGTTGCATGAAAAAAAAATTACTACCCCCTCTTCGCTATTCCTTGCAACACAGACGGTGGTGTAGGAGACTTGTCAGCAGCAGATGCACTTATTGTAATCACAGTCCTTAATAAATCTCTTTTTTTAATATTGACTATTTTAAAAGGAAAGTTACTTCCCAGGGCGTTCTCATGCTGCCAGATTTTCAGCAAAATATCAGAAGCAGAAGGTGACTGAGGGACAGTTTTTCACATTTCAAATAGTTAATCAGAAACGCAGTAGTACACACCTTGAGTGCCAGCAGGGACTGCCGAGGTAAACTGGGCAAAGAAGTGGCTTAGTCTGACTCTGCTGGAACTGCCTCAGTGCCAGCCAGCTCGTGTGGCACAAATGTTAACTGGAAAGACACTTCACTGTAGCCTATGTTCATTTGGTTCCTGGGAGTAAAAGACTAAAGAATAGTCCTTTCTAGATTCCCAAGAATCAACAGTTTAGGTTGCAACCTGACTACCATTAAACTCAAGCACAACTCACTATCTGAAGCTCTAAAATAACCATAGGACTCCATTTACTTGATTAAAATAGCTGGTCAAGGAGAGGGGAAAACAGCTTTAAAGATTCTCCCCCGGATTAATTACCTGATGGCGATGACATCGCACAGATGTTTTTCCTCACTGTTGAATATAGATAGATCAAATTTAGCAAAGTAAATTTTGTGTCTATTCAGTACTGCATCAGTTGCTCACTGTTCACATGAAGTAGCAAAACTGGCAGAATAGTCTGACATAAGAGCCATTTATGATCGTGAAACTCCTGAAGATATTTTTAGTTCCTCAGACCATACATACATCTATTTAAGACTGAGACCAGTAGGGAGACATGCTCCCAGAATCTCCCCATCCTTCTAGACAAGTAAAAGAAGAGGAAAAAAAAAGGGAAAAAAAAGTATAATGGATTGGCTTTAGAGTCTCCCTGCTGAGATGAACAACTTGATCCACTTACAGTTCCAAACACATGATGCATGAAAGAACTGACAGAAATTCAATTCTTGCAAAGAAGAGCAGCTGCTCTCTAGTGGTCAAAGCCAAATATTAAGCAGTCTGAAGGAAAGGAAAAGACCTAGAGGAGAATACTTCATTATCTAGGTAACTAAAATAATGAAACAAAGCTAAATAAGACATAAACACTGATCCCAAACATTAATTACACAACGCAACACGATTCAAGTTAAGGCTTTGTTGCGACAAATATTAATCCCAGCTGTATTTATATAGCAGTTGTGAAAAAAAATACACCATGTACGCTATTTGTGAGCCATGCCAGTTAATTGAATTTGCTGGCAGCACTTCCTCTGCTATGCTCCAAACATCCTCCAAGATAAAATGTAGCTTTTAAATAGACCTGTGGAAAACTGAATCAAGAAATCTGAACTAATAAAACACAACTCTCTACTGTTATAAAAGTGGAGTAAAAGTAAATAATGAAAGGAAGGAAGTCTCTTAAAATTTATTACATTCCAAAGCTTGAAGTTCTGCGTTTATTGGTGAAGTCTCTTCTGATGTTCTACAGTGCGCCTACAACAGCTCCTTTAATGAAGTCTCATAAAATCTAATATAATACTTGATTGTTGACAAATCATATACATGTTTGAGGCCCCGCACTCACTGTATCCAGACATTTCTTACATAATTCCATTAAATTTACAAGTCTGTCATTCCCCGGGCTGTGGATAATGGCGCGAGCGATGACCAGCTGGCACATTTGGATGCTGGGAGTGGAATCAAAATGAAAAACTATATAAAGCCAGAAAAAAATTTGTGGAAGTAACTTTTATAGACTAAATGCTTGACTAAAGCCAAAATGTTCACAATCAAGACGGACCTTTCATCCAGAGCTCACTGTTTTCGAAGAACGGATCACAGAGAAATGACGGGATCTCACAGGAGGAGGTATACTCACATGGGGTATATTCACCATTACTTGTGTTTTAACTCAGACAGACCCAGCTTACACTGAGCTCCCTGCGTATCAATTTTATTTCTCAACTACACATGAAAAGGCATAGATCTAACTGTCAGCACAATATTTTGAACTAGTAAAAGAAATCCAGATTTCCCCCTGCCATTTCCTCCTAAACAGTCACCCTCTGACTTAAAAATAACTTCTTACACTCTTACATTACTGTTCTTCCCTCACAGCTTCTTTAGTGTAGATGATTACAGCAGCAAGTAGCAAGGTGGGTGTATTTTTCTTCCATTAACAGGAAAGATCAAGTGTTTATACACCATTGCCATTAAGTAATTAAAAAATAAATAAATTACTAATAAAAATGTTGAATGAGAAAGAAAGTTCCAAATTATATGCACTGAGCAGGGCTAGATGTTAACATGAAATAATCCTTTTGATATCACAACTCAGGATATAAAATGTACAAAGTTCATGGAAGCCTACCTGGAAGAAGGCACAGGAAAACACCCACACAATTTCATCTGGAAACGAAAGGTATCTAAAAATGGATTCTTTTTTTCCCTCAGTGAAATGGTTTAAAATAGTAATACTTTTTCACACCATGAAGAAAGAAGTCTGAATTTTTGTTTCCTGTTTGGTGGTACCATAACCTGCATGTTTTTCATTTGTTTTTTTTACCCACAGAATACCAACTCTTCAGATGACTGGAAACCTGATTGTGCCATTCCAAAACTGAAACTGGGTTGCTGCAGCATTGCCATCTTATGTGAGCATTAGTTAATTTTCATTAGGAGCCTTAAAAAATATGACTGCAAATGTTCAAACAAGCATTCTTTAACACTTCAAAACAGGAAAGAATTGAGGTAAAGCAATTTACTCATAATAATTTAACAGAACAAGACACCTCAGTTAGAAAACGAACAGGTCACAAGGACTTAATATTTTAAGTAATGGAATAGTTGGATAAATCATTTCATACATACCACATCATTAGGAAGACTCTGAAGGTCATCAAAAGGGGTTTCCAGTGTGTTGGTGTCTACATTAAGAATCACTACATCTTCCAGGGCCATGTTTCTTACTTTCTAAATATGAGCAAATTCAAGAAAAGGTAAAGGAAAATATAAGAGTGAAGAGTTAAATTTTAGGCACAAAGGACACAAGTGATAGTGTAACATCACGGCATTACAAAAGCATTTTAAAACTAACCAACATTCCTGTCTTTCTGTCACCATTTGTTTTATTCATTTACATTTTATATTGCTAAAAAATAACCCTTCAATTTACAGAGGGAAGTCCTTAACATTGTGCAAACTGAAATTTCTGAAACTAGAGTGTTACTGTTTGAGATTATTTAAGCGAAGATTTATTTCAAACACCTCCACTAATGTTTGTCTTAATTCTGGTATCCTGTTTGCACATTTAGCAGTTTCTAACTGAGTCAAATAACAGCAAACAGTGGCCTTTCTAGGAGTTAAGAGCTGCAGTAAGTCGGGGTTGGGAACTGGTTTCCAAATTCCAGGTTGAATTTTAGAGGCAAATTTACGACTGTATTTAAGTAAAATGGATGCTACCAGAGTTTAATAAAAAAACAAATCATTAAAATGAAAAAGAGCTAAGAGAAAAAGAACACCACCATATCCTCGCCACTTAAAGTTCAGCAAGTCTAAAGTCTTTATCCTTTCCCATGAACTGAAAGAAAGAAATGGCTCTAATCTAATTTGAGTGTTAACATCATCTGTAACAGTACATGGACACACAAAAGAAAAACACAACCCATTTCTCAAAAGAGTGATCATTAGTACCTTTGACTTTAAGTGTCTAAAGCTACTGGTGATCTAAGCAAATTTAAACGTTGTCAGCCTTTACTTCCCTGCTTAAACAACAGTAAATGAATCACTGATATGAAACAGAGCAGCACTGAAATATTTATTTTAACACTTTTTCATTAACAGGAGAATTGAGGTTTGGGGTTTTTTTGTCTGACTGATCATACATATTTAAGCCCTCTTCAAATAAAGCTTTGAAAATCAGGACAAGTGGAACTATAGAATACAGTAATTAAGGAAATGTCCCAGTGAAACTGTAAACAAATATTTAAGTTCCAACACACCTATACATAGGACCAAATGCAAGTTCCTGAGGAGGAAAATGAACAAAACCATACTCCATTTTTAATTGAGGTTTTGCATGGTGGGGGGAATTGTTTCCTTTAAAATAAAAAAGGAACTAAAGCTCTAAAACAATGGCAAAGTTGAGCCTTAGGCATCTAAATAATTACCTTTGGTTTTCAAGGCTCAGTCCTCTGTCTATAAAGAAAACTGCTGTGTACTTGGGGGCAGAGGGGGAAGGCAACAACTATAAAAACCACTTTGTAGACATTTAATTTCAGGTCTTCCATGAGAAATGTCTTTAACTTAAATGGAGGAATATTACATTTAATGCTTCTCATATAAAAAGCACAAGCACTGCATGACAAACCAGGTACTTTCCTCTACATTTCAGGAACCAAAGGTCACTCTGTTGGCTGCATCTGATAAACTCTAAAGCAATCCAGGAGTCTTGCTCCTTCTAGGAGTCCGGAAGCACCAGACAAACTGATTTGCTCCTTCCTGTTTCAGAAAATTAAAAATCTCACTTATACTCAGAGGAGTCTAAAAAGCACCAACAAAAAGGCCTTGCAATGTACTTAACCAAAGCCAGAAGCTTGTCAAAATCGAGTACTAGCAGGACAAGACAGAAGGAATTAAAACCTCCTCTTGATTCCTGCCAGAGAAACAACAAACGTGTGCTTGAACTTGTCAATGGGTGTTTTTTGTAACTTTGATGACAAATCTGCACCTTCCTTTCAGCAAAACATCTTTTTCTGTAGCAAAGAACAGGCTTGTGACAAGGGCTGGCTGACACAGGTCCGGTACAAAAGGATGATTCTTGTGGTACAAGGACTATAAATGCTGATCACCTCCACACACGGCCCAGAAATAATTGTACTGAAAGGAAGGCTCATTAAAATCTGCTGTGCTATATATTTACACTGTGAGGAGGACACCATTACTTCAAAAGTTCTCAATATTTGTATTAGGACAGGGGATTTCCCTGGGGACAAATCTTCAAATTTAATAAAACACTAGAGAATAACGTGATTTATAGCATCTATCTTGCAATGCATTTGAAGAAATATATTTTTTCAGTGGTCCAACTGTGGCTTATCCTAGAGAAATGCAAACTGACCAGTTAATCTTAATCCTTACCTGGTTTTATTGTTTCTCTTCACTGTAATCTTTGACAAAGATCTTTGAAAAACTATCATCAGATAGTTATAAAGGCTTCTGTCAAATAATCACATGGCTCATCAAACATAGCACCTATCAGCCCAAGTCACTCGGAAACAAAAGCATTTACTCTCTTGCTGGAAGTTTAGTAAAAATTTCCAGCATTCAACTGCATTTCCCACAGCAATCCCATTGGAGTCTATGAATTGCAACTCCATGTAGATAATTTTCACTGTTAGAATGTGCGTTCTTGTAATTTTCCCAAAGCACAAAGGGACAGCCACTAAGCCATATACAGTCACATTCCGTATTTCACAACTCCCTGAACATCAAGAAAAATATTACAAATAAAGTGATACCTGTTAAACAGAATGGACTATATTCACTATGTTCGTATTTTGCTGAAAAAAACGTGAAGAAGCAAAGAACAAGAGGAAATATGAACATTACAGTTTCCTTACCTAATTTTACTACAGACTGGGGATTTTGGGGTCAAAAGAAGTGATTCAGCGAAAATGTGCATCATGTATCACTTACTGCAAGCCTTTCTTAACCATCCTTACCGAATTACTTGTAGCCATAATTAATCATCTAAAAACCATCAAACTGAACTAACATCTACACCTGCCTTTTATTTTAAATGTCTCTTTTTAAAAGAGTGGAGAGGTACAGAAAGCTGGTTTAACAAGCACACTGAACCCATTGTTTATGGCCTCTATAAACATGGCTTAGTAAGAATTACTGACTTAATCAGAGAGAACTTATCTCCTGGTGAAAAGAGCACTTTAAATTTCAGAAATGGCACCTTTGCTGTGAAAATCTCTTAACTTTTCAAACAAACTCCAGGGGGCCTTAAACACCAGGTCAGTAAATAAGCAGCAGTTAGAGCGCCTGTCCGGCTCACAAGCAGCCAAACACTTGAAGTAATTTAAATGTTTTATGTGAAAGTTCACAAAAATACCAAGAAACTACATTTGAATGGGAGTATGAATGGGTGCTCCTCTGTCTCACTCGGATCACATGCTAGAAGCAATATTCATCAAAAATACTAACACCAGTTTATACTAAATGTTATTTTATGATCGCTGTCTGCAGTTGGCAGGTTTGCATTTCCTACCATAAAATGCCCCAAGTTAAACTTCTCTCAGATGAACAATTTTATTGAATAGTTCACTTAAAAACCAACAACACTCCCCTCCTACTCCCAAAACCAATTTGCATAACTTCATGGTTAAATTGGTGCCAAAATGTAAACCAAGCTGATTGTGAGGTTTTATAACCAGATACAAATGTGATCAAGGTATTGAGAAATGTTGCAACAGAAAAAAGGAATCCTTTTGGAAAGGTAAAACTCTTAGCAAAGCCTAATATTCTTCGTAGCTACTTTGTACATTATATTTGAGATTCTTATGAAAGTACGGCTCACAACAAGTCGAAAATCCCTTTACTTAATGGCTTGTCTCTACTTAGTTAATAGTTTCCCTTTATTTTCTTCAGAAAAACACCACACCACCGCAGACAACAATGTGTCAATCTGGCTGCCAGAAGCAGGAAAGGCAACGGATATAAAATTTTATTATTTCATGCCCCAACAGCAGCCAGAAGGACTTAATGAAATCACCCTTAGATTTACAATCTGAAATGGCTATTCAGCAGACAAATCTGGTTAGGCGGGATGTGCCCCCTGACCCCCCGGCCCTTTGATCCGGGCGCAGCAGGTGGGCTGCGACCCCCTCCTGTGCATCTCCCACTCTTCCGCCCAGTCCCAACCTTGATGTGCAGTGCCCTGATCCTGCACAGGTGATTCTCAAGATCCTTATCATAAGCAGCTGTTGCCAACTGAGTGACAAACATCACTACTGCTGCTCTAATGCTGTTGTGCAACGGAACAGAAAGAACCTTCTACGCTTACTGGTAACTCTACTTGGTACCATCTTATTTGTCTGTCTCAAAATTCCTTGCACACATAATCTCTTACTGAAACACAGGTATTATTTTCATTTTCCCAATAATTGGATAAAAGACAATTCCATCATATTTTAAATGCACTCTATTAGTACTTCTGAAACCATGTACAGCTATATTTATAATGTTTGTGACTAAACTACACTGAGTTTAAGACCTGGATCTAAGCATACACATATATATAACCCTTCATCTAAACCCTGTGAAAAAGCTACACTTCTTAAGGTATAGCTAGAAAAGGCAGTGATTAACTAAGTATAAATGGATGGAAAAAGCTAGTTATTACTCCTCACCCCAACCAAAAGATATAATTAACAATTAACACTACCACTGGAAGATGCCAGTGGTCAATGAATTCCCAGGGTGTCTTCTGCAGCATGGAGAAACCACAGGGCACTGTCAGGACTAACCCCCAGCTGATGAAACCTGTTTCTCAGTTCATTATCTCAGACTCTGCTCAGGGTAACCGGTGTATTATCAGGCTGGATCACAAACAGTGCATCCTCCTGCCAACCTGAACAAAACCAGGTAAATATGCCCAAAAGTGCTTCCAGAATATGTGTGGGTTCAGTGGAGGGAGCACACAGCTTTCTGCTCATCTGCCTAAGGAAGAGACTATCGACATTACTGAGATCAGCTGCCCCGTCTAACCATATTAAACACAGCATGAATTCTACTGAACCTTCTCCTAACATATTTACTCATAGCAGGTTGAAATGAAACAAAAATCTGCTCCTATAGGCTTTATGATATCCACAACTGTCCTTTATGCTTAGGAATAAATATTAGGCAAACATTCTGACAAATGCAAGGTGAAGTTTCACACACAGCTTCACCCCGGATAATCTTGTAAGAATTAAAATCCTGAAGTCCCAGAAAAAGCCCTCAAGTGACAGGAATGAAAAAAAAAAAAAAAGGCATAAAAAGTATTTTTCTGATGATGAACTTTAACTCTGATGGTTGTATTTGTCCCCCATGGAAAGGGTGGGCGTTATTGTTACTGGAATAACTAACTGGCAGCCTGGCACAGAAGAACACAGTGCCAGCAACTCCGTGTCTGACAGCTGAACAGAACTATCCACAACAGTTAATCAAACCCACATGTGTCTAGATTCCAATAGGTAGTCTACTAGGTCAAGGGCATTCCTCTTCCATCAGCACCATCACACTAATAACCTTCCCACAGAAACAGTTGCTGAAACAATCGTTTACTATGACAAAATGTAAAAGGCTTCTTGCGAAGTTTGACACCACTCATAGCATGCAGGTCAATTTAATAGTTAGAACAGTAAACCAGCACAGAGCATGCAGGTAGAAAATGAAACAAGATTATGAAAGGGACTTGTTCATTTGATAGGGTTTCATTTTCCTATCTCATTATTTATCAATACTAAGTACTTATCTTCATCTAATATGAATTCAATTAGTTCCGTAAGCATGTTCCATTATTCATGTGATAGCTCCAGCCTTGCTTATCCAACAGCTTATAAACTTTTAGCCTTCTTTGAAGTCACTTTATGGATTGCTAAATGGAAATCTTATAAAGAATGACTAACTAGGTGATGATAGAAAAGCTGAAAAATAAGAGCACAAAACACAGCTCTATATTTTCTACCAAGTTTTTCCCTCATAAATCAGTTGGCGCCCTCTGACCTATAACAGGAGATTATCTTATCTCACTGGAGAACATTTCAGTCACAGCAAATTAGATTTAACAGTCAATGGATATGCTTGATATTTTAATCATAAGAAAAATTTGTCATTTTCCATTAAAATAACTGCTCCTTGTACAGAGACCCTGTGTAACATGGGAAACTGCAAACTAACTTTAAGATGCAAAATGGTTTGGAAGAAAACCTTTTGAGGCGAGGGATAGTGTGTATTTAGTTTAAAATCAGTAACACTGCTGCTGTATTTCTTCAAGAGGACCTGTTCCAAAGTAGGGAGAGCAAAACCCCACAGAAACACCACCAAAGCCAGAAAACTATTTCTTCCTTTATCCCAAACCCACCCTCCCCACAGCTTGCTCCACACAAGCTTAGGCTTCCACTAACATTTATGCAACAATGACAGATTCTGCAATCGGAGCTGCTGGAGCAGAACCCTCAGCCTATATATAACTGCAATCGCCCCCGTGGGGCCCTCCAGCAGATAAAGAGTCCACCTGCCTGAACTTCAATAGAGGACTGGGGAATTAATCCCTCATCCTGAAACTAGAACATGTGAATTAACAAAACACTTTCAGAGATGTATTTGCTGAGATTTCAGCATTTAAAGAAAAATTAATACTCAAGACTGGCAGTAATTTTTAGTTGTGTCTTAAAAAATTACTTTGATATGGAAAAATTAGTATCTTGTGTTTTAAAAAATACACAACTGCTAGATCACGAGGAAAAAATTGCTGTTGCTACTAAATTGTTATTCTAATAAATAAACCACACAATTCGATACGTACAGATGAAGAAAAAGACAAAGAGTAAGCTTTCAGCATCCAACACAGGCAAAGAGGTAAACGAGAAACTGACTGGTACATCTGACCCATCACCTTTCCTTTGCCCAAGGCACAGAGAAATCATACAACAGATCCACGAGCCTCTGTGTTTTTATCTTTCAAGGGAAAAAGCAGGGCTAGTTGGAAGATTCATTTCTATCTGGAACTATTCAATCTATCCATAAGAGCAGAGGGAGGAGAGAAGACAGTTTGTTTTATTTATTTAATTTATTTCAGAAGGCACTTTGAATCACGGTACTTTGCCAAAGTGTGTCTGTGTTCCAGAATCTCGGGCTATTCAGAAGCCATACTGGATTTAGTACTAAACAGATTTTTTCACAAGTTACTAAAATGGATAAAAATTGGCTTCTCCAAGAACAACTCCTTTTTTTGAGTTTTTACAGATGGAGTTTGGAGGCCTGCAGAGCCCTGCAATCTGAAACATGGAGACAAAGGGAGAGGTAATGGGTTTGTGTAGCAAGGCAGGAGTGGGACATCACACAAAGCAACTCCAAGGTGTAATTATGAATTTTATTTTTCTATACCCATTGCCAGGCTCACCACGTAGCTCTTTGTGAGCAGAATTACTTGTGAGAGCTGACAAGTATCTGCACTGAGATATGAGCCCATCTTCTACCACGTCTCTTCCTTCTTTTTTATAGATACTACAATACACATGCAATCATTACCTGGCACAGACATGGGGCAGAAAGCTTCCTGATTAACTTGAAAAACATATGCTAGACTATTTCTTCCTAGACATTACTTTGGTGCCGTCTATGCAGCACTGAAGGGTAATTATCAGAAATCCTTCTAACATAAGCATATGATGTGCAAACAAACGTACATGTTGACTTTTAAAATAATTGCTTATTCACTACCACATTGTACTGCAATTCTGTACTTCATTTAGCAATATAAAGGGCATAAAAAGTCATCGGTACCCAGGATAGTAAGGAAAAAAAGAGTAAGGAAAAAGAGGTCCTGCACATTCCATCGAGCTCCTCACAAAAAAAGCAACTTCTAAAATTACTTCACATTAATGCTGGAAAAAGAGGGAAGTGACAGCATGCTAGTCCCAGTTTTAACACACAAAGACATAGAGGATCATTATTACATACACACACCCCAGCGAACGAATATGTTCGATCAGTATTTCCAGAGAAATGACACATTTTGGTGGAGAATAAAAGTACAAATATTCTAGTAATGTGCATTACTTCATGCGATATAAAACTCGGTTGGGCGAGTTGTTACGTATCCTAAACACTACTCCTAAATTTCCAAACACGGGCATCTAAACCAGGGACACAAGTCAATTAAGTTTCAAGGGCATTTGCAACTCCCACCAGTTCAACAGTGTGGCTAATTTAAGAGCCTACACAGAGGCAGGGCTTTGTGGGCAGGAATGCCTCTTCCCACACAGAGCATACACGTTGTTCAGGCTTCCTGTCTAAAGGGGCACGATTAATAAGGACTCTGATTTTCACAGGGAACTAAATTAATAGCTTATGTTGTCCTCCAGATACTTTTGAGGAAAACCATCAATTGTTTCACCAGTACTGGAAGCAAACGCAAATGTGCTATTTCCACTTTTAGACTTTTTAAAAAGTCACATGAATTACTCTGAATTGTTTATATGTGAAGCTTTCTGTGAGGGCTGGTTTGCTGCCAGCTTTGTGTTAACATTAACAGCAAGTTCCTTCTTTTCAGATCTTCTGAACATTAAAAAAATTACAATCTGTCTGCAAAAGCCTAAAAGAGAACTGTAACTGTCAACATTTTGGTTTAATATCGACTCTGCCTTTGTGAATAGTCAAACTAAGGCAGGAAACTGCTGAAGTGAAGCAACAGGATGAAGAGGGGAACACAACATGAGCTTGTCGCCAACTGCAGAACTAAAAACAAAGTATGCCCAGAGAGTACCAGGTATCAAACGCCCCTGAGATTTAACACTATCATGCTTAACTGTGGTTCTCTCAGTACTCCCAAATTAACAGGACTATTTTATTTTCAAGCATATGAATGAATGTATAATTACTAGTTCTAAATCATAAAACATTAGAAGTTTCAGAAATGGTGAGAAAGACTTACCTCCATCAAACTTAGATGTATTCCAATGAGGTAGGGCATTGGGGCACTGCAAAGAGGAAAGAAATCCAGCTTTACTTTCTCATAACACAGTGGATTAACACATCTGACTTATAAAATTAGCTACAGGAAAATACTGGGATACTGGATTAGATTTTGCTTAAAATAATAATATCTATATAATGAAACCACATATGAACAAAATTTTATTCCATATTTTAATGACTTTTTTTATGATGCAATATCCTCTCCCCATTGTAAGACTTGCATTTTTCTTGACATCACAATTTGTAAGTGGCTCAGCTAAGACAGGTACCTAAGGAGAGCTGGTAAAGGATCTCGGTCTGTTCTTAAAAACCAAACAAAATGTGTTAATACAATATTAAAAATAAAAATACACAGACTTCTTCTAAGAGTATTCTTCAGACAAACCCATCCTATTGCAGTGTTAAGTGGTTAATTTAATACATTAAACACGTATCGCCCCGTACACAGGTTTTAAATCCTTTCAATATGGACACATTTAAATAATTTATCTTTAAGTATAAATCTTAAAACGTTTGCATTTATGAAAGAAAAATACAAAAAATAGTGTTGAAGATTCTGATGAACTCCAAAGCTCCTGGGACATACACCAATACCATCAGATCCTCCAGAACACAAACCTTAAATGCACCAAGAGACTCTTTGGCCAAATTTGTAGCCTCAGACACAGGTGTGATGCCACTGCCCTCAAACAGCACACTAACATTTAAGAGAAAGATTGATCTTTTCTGGTTTTCCTTCCATGATGTTAGCAAACACCAACATGGGCTCCATAACACGAGAAGAACACTGAATGGAAGTTGTATCTTTGTGTATACAGTATTGCTAATATTAAGCCTATTACAGGACTCCCACTCAACTAATCAGGGAAAGCTTATATTTGCACTGCTTATTAGAACACATCAAAGAGGATGCCAAAGCTGCTAATTGCAAATATGGCATATACTGCCTGTTAAACGGAAAGCACACAGACAGACACAACTTTTAAAATAGCCTCATTTTGGTTTGGATACAGCAGCTCAAAGAGCTCATTTTCAATTTCAGATTAAAAAGAAAAAAAAAGAAAAAAAAAGAGAGAGAAATGTCACTGTACTGCCTTGGATTAAAATATCTTCCATATTGCTTTTAGAAACTGGTACCTACTGCTCAGTAAGAGAAGTACGCTGCTGAAAAAAACTACTGAAAGGCACCAGACCAGCAAAAATCACTGCTTCTAGTTGTCATGAGAAATACCTTTTAAAACTATATTTACTGACAGGCATATTAATGATTATCAGTTTATTAATAAACCCCCTAAAACTGCTACTCTGTTGGATGCTGTACCAAGAGATGGAAACAGCCTCTGTGTTAGACATCGCACATGAAAACACTTTTTGAAGACATTAAACAAATCTAATGTAAAAGCCCCACACAAGTTCACTTGTGGAATCCTGCAGTGCTGTGTATTACATCACAACTCACTGAACTCAGTGAGAATGTCCCTGCCCCAGCTTCACCCAAGACAGCACCTCATGACAGCCCAGAGAGATACACATCCCGAAGGCTCTGCTTCCCTGGGAATGTCACAGATGAGAACATACATCCAAGTTCTTAGAAATTTTTCCATGCAACATGATACACACTTGCTACATATGGATCGTTGCATGCTGCTGGGCAGGTCTACTTGTCATTTTGCATGTTTTATTTGTGACAAACGCTATCTCTTTCACCCACATCTCATCGTTTCCAGTGGCCACATTCCAGGAGCAAGGAAATACTCAGTAATTTTATATCCAAAGTATAAACCACCAGGTCAGCTGCCAGCTGCACAAACGCTCGACTTCCCCATGTGCCTGGCTGCGCTGCTCAAGACTCCTCCAGTGTACACGGCCATGAATGTGTTTCTAATTAAGCAGTTTCATGAACACGACAGCTTCAATCTCAAAAATACAAAGTCTGAACCTCAGCAGGAAGTCTTAAGACTGCAAATGTCTCATCTAGTGGAACTTTGGCTAACGTAATGAAAGGAAGCAGCAACAGTGCAGTACTCCAGAAAAACAGCCATTTATTAACATGCCCAAAAGTAGAGTCTGTCACCAAGCACAGGAAAACCTGAACCTGGAAAAGTTACTTAACTGTATCATGTCCACCTTTCAATGCATAATGATGCAATGAATAATCTTTTCAGTTTTCCAGTAACAAACATTACAAATAAAGGCAATACAGCCCATAAAACTACTAAAGGGACGGCATAAAGGCTACAGTAACTGGACTTCTAAAAGCATTCTGAAATCTGTTATTTCTTTAAACATGCATTACTAAATATTCAAGGACTCCAGTCCTCCAGTGCTTAATGGACTGTACAGGGCATACACCTGGACAGAGAAGAGACAGAACGAGCAACAACTTGATACTATACAACTACAAAGAGAGGTTTCAGCATACCCACTGACAGGAAAAATTGCTCTGGTTTTGCTGAGGATATGAAAAAGGAAACTTTGAAGCAGTAACTTGTTAAAGTACAATGTGTTAGCTTTGCAAATATTTGTGCTTATGAAGAGGTTTTTAAGGACAATTCACCATGATAGCCCCTTATGCTCCCAAAAGTTTAACTAAGCAACCATCATAAATAACCTCAATAGAATAAAATTCTGGTAAAGAGCATAAATACTCCCAAACAGATCTACCAGAGAGATTATATTCTTTTGTCATCACCCACCAAGATGACTGAAAAGGAAACACACCTAAAAGCAAACGTTGAAGGCTTATGTCAGGGTTCATAAATTGCTTTTATCATCCTTTTTCTTTATCATGTGTTGATCATATGCCATTGCTTAAATACTCAGCCACCCTTGGTACAAGGGAATGGTGTGTGCCTCCTCTTCCCATTCAGAGCATAACATCACAGCTCTTCCTAACTGCTATTCAGGTCCTGAGACATGAAACACTCAAGCAGTTTTTAATATTTTATCAGGTGAGATGTGTATTTCCAAGACTTTCAAGTGAACTTCAGTAAGACACATTGCTTGTATAAATGGGAGGAACACTCCACACAACCTTTAATCCTCTGGGACCCACGACAGATTAAAGACTGCCCTTCAGACCAGTCTTTACCTACTGCTTGACACTTCATCACTCTCGGGGCTTCTTACAACCACAAGTACTAATTACTCAAAGTTGTTTGATGGCAGCCAATATCCATGAAGTGCAAAATTAAGAAGTATCAATTTCTACTGTGTGTATTTACTGCTTGAACAAAATGCCTGCCCAAGTCCTCTGGAACAAAGAGAAAGGTTATTACTCCTCTTGTGCTACACGGGTTCCCAATGCAATCAGCGTTATTTATAATCAAATGAGTTATATAGGTAAACATCAAATCATTAAAGTAGCAATGCATAAGCATGAATATGGATATTGTGGACTTAATGGCTATATATTGCCCATTTATTACAGCTGCATTTTTACAATTTCTTTAATTCCTTTCCTTAGGCTAACTAGAGACCTCTTAATTATGCTCCCAAGAGGTGGGCAACTACTAATTGGAAGAGAAGCAGGTGAAATAGAGGGACATTTCCTCTTAAGTGAAAAAAAAACACCCTTAAAAAATACTGCAATTCACCAGAACAAGTAATGTAAAACCCAAGGATCTCAAAAAGGTTCATAGTTTACAGCTACACAGGGATTTGCAGCATTTTGCTTCACTGTTCCTGGAAAATTGATTTGATCACATTTACTAAGTTCATGTCTTGATGTACAAATACTGACTTAATCCATCATTCGCTCACACTGGTAGTACTTTATTCTCTACGGCAGTCTCCTGATTTCTCTTCAAGATTACTCTCTGAAATGCAACAGAATTCAGTCCAAAACGTATTGGGTAATTGATGCAAAGAAGGAACTTGACTGCATAAATTGGAATGATGTAGAAAACATACAGCTAAGAAACCAGAAGAGCAACTACAAGAGCTTTTAGTGAGTACACAGATGTACCAGGCTAAATAGAAATGCCGACCAAGAGGCTCCTGAGGAAGGAATCATTGTTTCCAGAGCAGCAGGAGTACTCGCCCTCCAGTTACCCCCTCCACCTACTGACAGCAGCATATTGAACTATATGCAGATTTAGAAAATGGGAGAAAGGGAGTTAAAAAAACTCCTGGAGAAAGGGAAACCCGCACCAATAGAAGCATTTGTTCAGCAGCTGTGCCAGGGTGCTTTAGGAAGGTGGCTCTCAGAATATATTAATGCTGGCTGCTAAGCAGTCCATCTAATTTAAAAGCCTGGTTTAATCACCCTAGAAAATATACTGTTGCTTCTGGTAAAAGCTCACAGAATAACCTGCGTGACAATGCTCTGGGACTTAGAGAACACACTAAGCTGTGCTACCAATCAGCAAAGACAGGCTTTTCTTACAGGTTGATTTTAAACACAGACACCAAGAGCAAAAAAGGAAGAAAACAGACACAGTGGGAGTGTTTTTATGCCACATGAAAAACAAACTGGAAGAAAAAGTGAGGAAAATTAATAGGCTGTTTCTTTCACATCAAGAAATGTTTAAATTTCCAACAACAAAATAGATGGACAAGACCTGTTCAAATTTAAGTGGTCATATGTGCTTGGCTGGTGGTGATGCTTGGTGGCAGTATCTCATTAACCAGTACTATGTGCACCTGCTTGCATGTACTTTATAAAAACAACCAACAAACCCCCCAGAAAACCCAACTAAACAGAAACCCAACCCAACCAGCAGTGCTTCATGTTTCCTCTGTTGTTCTCCATCCAAAGGAACAAGCAATTGGGCCTTAAGGTGTGAAAACTAATGATCTAATGGTAGGATTCCCACCAATTTTCAGTCTTCTCCACCAAAATTCTTTCCCTGGGCTGAAAATATACCAAAGAAAGGTACCTAATTAAAAAATAACAGTAAAGGACAGCCCTCTTCCCCTTGCTTCCCATCCACTCCTACCCTCAGTGAATGCAAATGACAGGGATTGGATGACTGAAGTCATTCATGTCCATGGTACTCCACCGCTAGTACTAACTTGGCCTCCTCAGTACAAAGAGTATTAAGAACAAACATTTTGAAGATACAGGCTTTTGGCACACCTCTCTTGACAGCTAAAGGGAACTCTCCTCACCTAGCCTGATGTCTCCCTTACGTGATGTTGGCCAAAAGGATCATGAAGTGGCAGGAGGAGAGTTAGTTACTCTCTGTACCTGTTCACTCTCTGCAAAGGGAGCTATTCTACCTTTTTGTATCTCTGGAAAGATCCAGTGGTGGTTGCGTCCCCTTTTCCTCCCCAGGAATTACATCAAATTTCAAGCTTCACAACTGTGAAGCTGTCAGTGGATCAGTCGGGACCTTAGAAGTTTCCTTTGTATGAAAAGTTTCCAGTGCAACTCAAACGATTAAAAGCAAATACTCACAAGTGGAACAGACCTGTTTCAAAACTTTCAAAGATGACAAGCAATGCAGTCTGTGCACCCTTCTGTGATTGTCAAAAGGGCAGGAGAAGATTCAGAAGCATCACACAGCACAGTCAATAAATGGACACAGTCAAGTGAATGAACGTGCTATTTTGTATTCATAAGAACTGAAAAATTCTCCCTTTACGTTCTGTTTCCATTTCAGCTCTTTAAAATCCTTATGCCACAAGTGCAAGAGAAATAACCAGGCGATAACTAAAATTAAACTAAACTCTTCTATTTTAAATAATCTCAGGTCATTTCCCTTAAGAGGCAGACACTGCAATAATCCTGCCTTACAGAGGAGAGCTCGGAGCTGATTGCTCAGTGCTCCCTGGCAAAAATGACGTCTCCAAGTTCACATGGTTACAAAATAGATGGACTCTATTTTGAGAAATATATTTATGGCACATAAATTGTTGCTAAATTAGCTTATTCAAACAATTATAGTGTGTGTAGCTACCTCTCCAATTAAAGTTCATAGCTGGCTAAGGCAATCAGTTGTATTTGTGAGCATGCATTCACAATCTGCCTAATAATTCTGCATTTTTAAATTATATTTTTCCCACACTAGCTGGCTCATTCGTTATATGGACAGGGTGTTATGCCATGAAAGAATTCATTCAGTAGAGCTCAATGACATGTGTCTTTATTTCCTTGGGTACACTGCCCAAGTGTTTGCTTTTTGCACACTTCTGCTCCCGACTGCGGGATCTGGACTTAGCCCCTTTTAACGTGCCTTTGTCAGAAAGTCGATGAATACCTAATCTTCAAACCCACCAGCGTAAAAGCCTCTTGTGGTCCACATCGTTGTCCTGAAAACTCCTAGCAGCATGTACCTGAAGAAAAAGCTGGCAGCAGCAGCCTTCATGTGTTAATTACACATGCGAAGCCCATTATGCAGAGAAAGGGCACCTGCTGGCAGTGCAAATGACTAGAGCCTGCCCTTCCTGCTCACCCAGTAAATTGAAGGTTCATTTCTACAGGAGATAACAGTTTTTAGATTCCGTTCCCTGTATCCTCGACATAGGCACATACTTAACATTTAAATCGTCTGCAGAGGAGCAAGCCTCCTTTAAATCTACATGTTTCCGTTCCTAGCACTTCACTTTAAAATGCTGCTTATCCCAGCTGCTGCCTTAATCCTGCTTAAATGCAGAGAAAACGTCACATAGAACACTATCACTATTAAAAAACCAGCCAACCTCCACACTGTTTGGAGGTTGTTATTAAAAAAACAGCTAACCAAGCCACACTTAAAGTGACACAGTAAGTTTAAGTTTGTCTTGCTTTCTGAGGACTGTTTAAGAGGCCAGGGGGCAGAGGGAGGCTGCTTTTCTGTTTCCAAATCCTTCCCAAAAGTGCACTAAGCAAAACACTCGCATCAATGTTCCTGCTGTTTGGAGACCTAGTGGGGAAGCAGCAGATTTGCCAGTGCAGACAAAGGAACCAAGTCCCTCAGCTTTCTCACTTCCTTCCCTCCTTCATCACTTGCCTATGTGACCATGCAGCAGCAGGTCCGTGTTTGATTGGTGCTTCCCATTCACTTCCACTCTTGTTACCCTCTACATCCTTCAGTTTAAATCCAGTCAAGCTTTGGCCTTACCGGTTCCATCCCTGCATGCCCAGGCAATAACTCCATTATTTCCCTAACAGGGCTTGGAAGTATAACTGCTCTAAGAAGCCTAAAGCAAGGCCAATTCTTCTCCACTGTATCCTCTACTGTTAAGAGTCTTAATTCAGATTTCAACATTTAATACAGATATGCTGAAAACAAGTTTTAATTACACAATATCTGCGTTGCAGCATTCCAGAGTAACCACACATATTAAGAGTATTTCAACATACTGATAGACAATTATATCTTGCCATAAAAATACATTTTGTTACTTACTAGGTTGGTTGCTTCCTTAATATGCCCATATATTTTTAGAGTAACAGTTGCATCATAAGAGGACTTCAGACTTACTATACAGAAATGTGAAAACTGCTGTGAATTTAAGTGATATATATACATCTATATAATATATATACATACATATATATAGTCTTACCAACAGTAGTCCAATAGATGTGGGGGCAGAACAGGAATGTAAACATGCTGCCAGAACATCGGGTAGAGCATAGCTGCAGACCCATGAATGCAGGCAGTTAACTGAAAAACACATATTAAAACAGGATCATAAATAAGACAAAAAACAAGTTTAGAAAGGCAAAGTTAGAAGAAAAATCAGTAAAAAAATCAATTCTGCTTTCATACCAACATGCTTTATTGAAAATATACAGTACGCTTAATAAAGGGGTATTGGTGGGTGAAGCATGACTGGTTTATGGTGGCTGTCACTGGACTGACTCTGTAAACAGCTGAGAACATGATCCATTCAACAACCAAGACCTGAAAAGAATACCCAGCGTTCTCTAAAGCAACAGAAACATGGAAATGAAAACACAAAGGGGACTAAAAATACTAAAAGCAAATGCCCCCAATCCTGGTAGTAACCATTCATTAAATAACATAAAACTGCATTGAGATTATTACAGAACTGTAAAAATGTGGCATGTGTTTTTTAAGAACGAATCATGCCAAACCCAGAGATTAACGTGCTATTGTTTAAAAGGGATTCTCATCTAATTGCCCTTCACCAAATCACTTGATCCACTGAATATCTCAGGTATATTGTTAAAAACTCATTCAGAACAGTTCTGATGCTGGCAGGTACTGAATGAAAAAGATCACAAATAGCAACCACAAGTCTACCAGTTAAGCCGTGGGGAGAATCCTTGCAGAGCACTGGAGGAAATTACATCTCTCAATCCTATTTCAAGCTGTAATTAATAATTTGGAAAAGAAGCTAAGCAGGATATTTGTTACACTAAGGATATTACAACGGAGAAGGTGGTAATCCTCAATAAGGATCTCTCGGCAAAAGCTACAGTCAAAATTCTATACAAAGAGGGTATGAACACACACACTTGGGAAAAAGAGAAAATAAATAAATAAGTAAAAACACTCATACAAATAGACACATACAAGGAAAGAATAAGAGGTGACAGGCAATCACATCCACCCTGACAGTGTGTTGCAGTTTAGAGTGTCTTTTAATCTCAAATGATACCCAGCCCAAGCAGTGCAATGTGTTTTGCTTGTGAGACACATTTTGAAAACAATACTCAGCAAAAGGCTATCATTTATTTGAAGGTAGGATGAAATCAAGCATGTAATGCTTGGCTGGACTGGAGAAAGCAGGGAGAACACGGCTTACAAATACCAAAAAGACAAATTCTAACGGACTGAGGTCCTGTGGTGGCCTGAAGTTGTGTGAGATGAAAGACAACAGAAAGACAAATCGTGACATTAATTCTCATTCAGTTAGATGTGGTGTAACCTTAAAAAACCAGAAGATCCTCATTATTATTGATTTCCATTAAGACAGACCAGTGAGTTATATACCCTATCGTAGGACCCCACGATTGGTAAGAAAGTGGTCTAGATGAGCTAACACAGTCTCTTCAGGGAAAATCAGCAACAATCCTGGACACAATTTGGCTTATGTTCAATGCCAAAGCCTTTATGTAATTCCAGTGCAGTTTCTGTAAGTAACAGAACCCGGTTTTCAGATTAAAATGCAGGTCGTTAGACAAGAAGAGGGAAGACAGGCATATATTATATGTATAATAATACATAATATTTAAGCCTCTGAACAATACAGATCTGGATAAGCAATGAGAATGCACCAAACTCCCCAGATTTTTTGGGGGAGGATTACTGAGCTCCTCTGCAGCATGATCAGAACAGCAAGTATCTGAACAAGTACCTGTTCAGTCTTTCTCAATAAGAAAGGCCTTTATTAGCAGGTGAACATTATTTTATGGTCCATAGGGAATGGAAATTTTAATATGTTAGGAAGCTAATTAAAACAAAAGTTAGAAGCTAAGAAATCCTGAATTTATTCTGTATTTTTGACTCATGAAAGTCTAAAGATTTATCCCTATCCCATTATTTTTCAAGTTAGCATTATATTATTCCTACTGGAGCAGATGTTCCTCTCTTGCAGATTAGATGAAAGCCAGAGCCTAGCTCCAAATACGCAGCAGAAAAAAGGGCCTGCTTTCCCACTGTAGTTTTTTCCTCTATATTCCTAAATCATTTATGTTTGCTGTTTCTGTTCTCCAAATCAAAAAAAGATGGAAAAAATACCATTTGTAAATTTAATTCTTACTTTAAACTTGCTCTGCCGGGATCAAATGGATTATTTCCTGGCATTATTATCTAACATGGCTGCTGCTGTAGAGGACTGAACTCGCTAATCCAAGGAGGTCGCTTCCAAGCCCCCCTCCCATTGGTTTTAAAACTCAGCAAGAAAAGATTAAACAGACATAATGCTCAACACTGCAGACATCTGAGCAGAACCTGTCACTTATTTTTGAGATGTACTCCCACCTTGCTATCTGGCAGGAATTCAAATAACATACTACCATGGGTAAGCACCAGCACTGTCCTTCAACTCTGCCAAGATAAGGGCTCATAAAAAAGAAATAGCGTATTTGCTGGAGACCTCACCTGATTAGTGATTGCCATACAGAAACCAAGCACTTAATAATAAGGCAGCCTGAGAAATGCCCAACTGTCAAAACTATAGGAATCCAGCATTTGGAAATAAGATTAGTTCCACTGCCTCAGCTTCCTGCAGCTGTTGCTAGAGAATGTAAAAAGATAGCTATGCAAGAAAGACACTGATTCACTAATGCACGTTTTGTAGTTCTGTATTTAATACTCTAAAAGCCTTGTTTCAGCAAATGAAATCAATGGGATTTTGGCACACACATAAAAGTTATAAAATGATGTTGAACTACAACAGGGCTCTTTCCAGCGCACGTTTCTCTCTCCTGATGCACAGGTGCAGTACATGGCTACAGATGTGCAACATATACTAGTAAACATATACTACCTCTGGCGTGCTTGTAAGATAATTTCTCTGCATTACTTGGGGCTAAAAACAAAGTAGAAAGCTTAAGACTGAGCTATCCAACAATTAAGTCATGAAAGCAGGGCTGTTGTAAGGCTGTGTATGAAGGTCCAGACTTAACTGGCAAGTTTTAAGGACAGAGACAGAGCTCTTGGGAAGGAAGAGCTTGTACATTTGCAACAGTAGTTGTAAGGCTGTTGTAGAACAAGAACTGTGCGAGCTTGCTGCAGCAAGGCAGCAGGAGCAGATTCACATGGAAGAGGGAATACTGGACACAAGGAAAGCTTGTTTCATTTTTGCAACAGCATGCTCCCACCAGCAGGTGCTCCTTTGCAAAGCACTTTTAGGCATTTGGGTTCGGATCTGGCTTTCTTGAGTAGATCACAGGAAACACAAAGAAATTTAACATAAATAATTGCTTTAACAGCCTGAGAAATTATCTGAGATTCCCTTTGTAGGAAAAAAAGAGAAAAAAATGCAAGAAAAGAGCAATAATTCTTACACAGGTTCAGTACATGTGGTCTATAAAATAGGTGACAAACACAGCCTCATTCAGTTACCACTACATCTCATTCAATTTAACTACATTAAGGAGATTCCAAATTAAAATTTGATATGATGTATTATAGCACAGAATTTATTCTATTATGACAGACTTTCTTATCCAGGACTATTTCATTATCTTTCTTACCTGATACTAAATTCAAGTCTTAAGTACGAAGTGTGCCGTGTTATCACCAAGTTAACTGGAATTAACCACAAAGAGGTCCCTTCCACTTTTTAGTTATAAACCTATAAACAAAGAACCCAATCTCCCTCAGCACCACCCCACCCTCACTTTACTTTGAGAATTCTCAGCTTGGTACGTTTCCAGTTACAAGGTCTTGGCTTCCACTGAGCACAGTTTGAAATAAAATAATGCAGCTTGTTCCTACTGCTGGAACATGCAGAGCAGAGCGCGCAGGGAAGGAATCGCTGGCTCCGGCCCAACACTTCAAACCTGTCTTACACTGTCACTCCAATCTTGGAGCAGTTTATATATAAAGTTGTAAGATAAGAACACACAGTATGAATACCCCTCCCTACCGAAGAACCCGACATGCTTTTATCTTGGACAGAGGCAAAAGGAAGAGAAATAGCACAAAGATAGGGAGGAAAACACAACCCTACTTGTGAAATGGCTCATTAAGGAAGGCAAAGTGACAGGTAAGTAATTCTTCTTCCCAGGCTCTGTCACAAAGGGAGAGATTAAACCAACCAACCACACCAATTCTGAAATGCTTTGGATGGCCGTTCTCTTCTTTCTCCCTCTCTGATAATTTACTCTTCTTTTCATTCTTTAGGTTTCTGAAATAAACACTTCCCTTTCTCCTTTTATTCCATTACCAGGAGTGGATGTATTTTCCCTTACTTTAGTAGGGAGGACACAGAACACCTGGTAGATAGAAAAGTTAAGATTTTACGAGTTTTCTACACTATTAAACTTTGTAATACTTACATTCTTTCAGTTAAATGTGGGATTGATTGTAAACTGCTAACAATTATTAACAGGTCCCTTAGATTATTCTGACTCTCCTGGCTTCACTTACCTTTCAAAGCAATGTTGTAATAGTTATTCTGAGATTAAGTGGAAGTCCTACTCTCTTTCATTTCTCTGCCCTGTATTAACAGATCATCCATACATGATTTTATGTATATAATTTCAGACTTCCATTGTAATTAGAATTCCATGAAGCAGTTTTAGTCTCAAAATAAAGTGGGTTATGGTCATGCAGTAAGAGACTAGTTAAATCCATACAAAATGGAAATGAAAGCTTGTATTTTAGAAAGGACCACTCAAGTACTTAGTCCGTAGCACTAGAAAGCAAAATTAGTTAAACCATCTTATACTCCTCATTCATAAAGGAAAGCAATCAATAGCCATTTACAGAGCAAACAGAATGAAAACCGAACATTTTCTTTTATAAAGTAAATCACAATCTTATTGACGGATAAACCTTGAAATGCATAACACAAAACTTTGAACTGAATCAAGCTGCGTGCTTGTTTTGATGTCCAGCCATTTTCAGAGGAGAGGACTCTAGAGTATTCAGCAGCTTTCATCTCTCAGACACTTGATGGAGCCTAAGTAGCATTAAGGATACACCTTATCAGACAAAACTGCAAAAATCTGAATTGCCAATGTATTTTAGCCCATCCAGAGAAGGTCACTGGAACATCCAGTTGACAGTATCATGATTTATCCATTTTTTTCCTGACAAGTGAATTATGACAAAGGGACTTCACTTCGGCATAAATGTTTGTATATTTCTTAATAAACACCCCAAGAATTCCTGCATCCAAAAGACCATTTTTCATTTGATCACTAGATGCTATCAGAGGTTATGTAAAATCATCACACCGCACCACAGAATTGAGTTGAGGTTGCATAGCTGAGGCTGGAAGGGGGACCTGGAGATCACCAGATCGTGTCTTGCATATGACTGTCATTATAAAGAAACACTGCGAATAGAAGAAATTATTCTGCATTTTACTTACAGTGCTCAGCTTACTACAACAAATGAGGATGCGGCGTTCATACAGCATACTGGCATAGAGGTGCAGCATGTTGTTGACATCAACTGCTACAAAATACTCTGTCAGATTTCTCTGGGAAGAGAAAGAATAATTTTTGATTCATTTTACAAAGTGAATTTTTACAAAAATTCAAAAAGCAAGAGTCCTTCACAAAAAAAAGAACCCCACCAGACTTCATCCTCCTGTTATGCAACACCCACTATGTGGCTTAACACAAGCAAGCAGTATGTCACCTTATGTCAGAGTACTTTTTAACTGCAGTATCTTTCCCCTAACTTTTGGGGAGCTAGGTCCTGGCATAATAAAATGGATGATGCTTCACATACAGCTTCTTAATAGATAAGACACTTCTCTGAGAAAAAACATGTTCTGTCACTTCTATGGTAACTTTGAAGTTGACTGATTAAGTACCAAAAAAAACCCATTTCACATCACAACAATAAACCCAGCTCCCTTAAGAGGACAATTCTAATATGATAAATGCAAATGTAAGCTCAGTCTATGCTACAGCGATGCTGATGACTGGAAATACATAGGGGCATTTAAGAGGCAATTTACAAACAGTTACAGAGGTTGTCTGAGCTCCTGACCTCATGCACCCAGACACAGGTTTCCCCTTGGAAGACAAGAAAGCACTTCCTTGGGGCTGGGGAAATGAGGAAGGAGATAAAATTCACAGATGCCCATCTCTGGTGAAGAGGCAGGATTCAAACACCCAATTTTACTTCAGTCATCAGTAGGTTTATATAGGATAAAGAAAATTAACAGCAGTAGAAGAACATTGTAAGCAAAGCACATCTGCAATCTGCCCTTAAAGTACAGAAAGATCAAGACACAAACAGGTAACAGTGCCAAAATGTTAGATATACACTGCCTAGAGACAACACAGGTTCCTTCCATGGTTTTGCTGCTCCGAATATTTAAAAGCACCAATGTAAAAAATACTGTAAATAACTGAAATTCAGGAAATGAAACTGAGCAAACTGCACAAGAGCCAGTTCATTCCCCACATCACCCCATCAGCCAACAACATCATCTATTCCTCACTACCAATGTAACTGCCCTGTGCACATGCTGCAGTGTTATGAATAATCTATCATTTACTAAATATTTAAGCTGTTTTCTAATAAACAGCAGAATGTGCTCCTAAGATCTTTATTAACAAAACTAGAAAGCCACAATGTAGGTAACTTGATCAAAATGTACTACAAAAAAAAGGAGGTTTGTGTGTAGAGGATATTTTCACGTCTTAAAACAGAGAATTAAAGAAACAAACAAGGGGAGGTGGTGGAGGACAAGGTAAATGTCCAAAATGCTGAAACAGGGAATTCATTAATTCATTTCCAAATAGCTTCTTACAGATATGGAAGGGCTGCTGTATGCTAAAGACAGTATTATACAAAAAGCACATGGGAGAGCAAAATTAGATTAGTCATGAATTCAAGTGCAATCTTAATCATCGTTAAATAAAAAAGTGCAGAAAAGCAAAAAGCAAATATGATTTAGAAACTTAAAGAAGCTCAACAAAGCCTATTAGCACTTTTGACAGATCCAAAGATAACTCTAAAACCACCAATACTTGGCCTGAGAAGTCTGCCAAGATGCTTCATACTGTGCAAAAATATGTTCCACAGCTTGCCATCCAAACACAAAGAACTAAAGAAAAATTAAGCATTGTATTTGGAAGACTTTTGCAGCACTGTGTAGATAGAGAAAAACTGAGCTCATTGTGGTTAGCTTCAAACATGTTAATATGAAGCAATCAGTCAGGTCTTTGTTACTGGAAAGCTGGAGCCACAGACAGGTATATTCAAAGAAAGGGGGGGCGGAAATTAGAAGCCAACATATTTTGCCAAAAACCTATTAAACTATCATGTACTTTTTCTGTATTTCTCATCCCATCTGTGCTGATTAGCATGATATTTTTGTCTAAACATAAGCTGTCTTCTCTATGGCTCTTCTTCCCCCTCTCACCCATCTTTCCACGACGCCAAAACACTGGTGCATGACGACACAATCACTGCAAACAGTGTGAATTAGAAGTATTTGTATAGCACAAGCACCCTTTGGTGCCAATCAGATCAGAGGCATGGCAAAGGAGCACATAATCCCCACGTTCTGCCTGGAGATGTAGATGTGTGTGTGCATGGACTGGTTGTAAGGCAACAGTATCCACTAGTGAGAGGAAAACAGACCCAGGGACGTCGTTTGCAATTATTCTTTCATCAAGTTTAGTCTGGTGAAATACTGGCTTTGACACAGAGATGTACCTTCAGATGGAAAGATCTGTAAGGATTGAGTCTTCTCTGCTCTCAGAAAGTTGCCAGTGACACCTGTGAAGCATGTGGGCTGTATGGTAATGTATTGATACTGAGGAAATTCACGTGTTAGCTCGGAGTTTTATTTATAAGAAAGCTGTCATCTTTGAAGACGGAATTGGGACTTACACATGTATTTTGAAAGATACGTCTCGTAAGTGACAAAACCATGAATGAGTTAAATAAATACAAATGAAAGCATTCCAATTTGCAGTATAATTGTTGTGTATTTTGTTTCCCAGGATTTAAGCTGTTCCTGGGGGAGTAAAAGTGTGATTTTCAAGATAAAATTGGGTACAGGTATCCCCCACTCCTCACTGAGAGCGCTACAAAATTCCCTCACACTCCTTTAAAAGTTCATTCCTAGATCAATCATCTATTTGATCATCTGCTAATACCAGTAAACACACATGCACACTGACTTTTGAGACAGGAAAAAATCTCATGCACTTTTCTTCCTCCATCATCTAATGAAGAATTTCTCACTGAAAGAACAAGCCAATGAGCCCTCTCTGCAAAGAGTGAAGCCCAAACATGGATTATAGCTCACTTATTTTAGTCTGCTCTCCAACAGCTTCATGTAGAAGACTTCAGCAAATTCCCTCTTAGACCAAGTCAACAGAATTGAGTCAGGTTTCCTTCTCTATTCTCCTTTGGAAATCTCTCATCTTACTTAGAAGCTTGTGTTCTTTCAAAAATCACATAATCAGAATCTAGCACAGGGTAGGTGATCTGGTGTGCAGCTAACACTTCTATAATGCCATGACGTTGTTTCGGAGAACAAAGTAATGACAATACACTTTATCAAATGGTGTAAATACAGAAATAAAAGGGAAAGGGCTTAAGAAAAACAGGTAGCAAAAGATGTGCTATAATAGACAAGTGAAAAATCAGGCATTTTGAAATATAGGACTCAGTGATACAAAAATACACCAGAACATCACACCAAGAACATGTCACCATTTCAGACTGGTAACTTGCCTGGTATCTGAAACACTACACATACTACCAGGGAAGTTACAGTCTTGCATTGTATTTCCTGCACTGCACCCACATTTATTTCTGAAGTCACAAAACATTTACAAATCTTTCATGTAATTTAAATCTTTAGGAAAAGTCAATGCTTAGCTGCTACATGAAAGTGTCCATGCTAAATGCTTTTGTGACTCATTAAACATATTGATCTGACATGAAGTCAGATAATAAAGTTTGTTAACATTCCAAATAGACTTCTGTGCAGCTCTCCATTAATCATCACATACAGCTTCAAAGTTTGGCACTACTAAAACTTTTCCTAATACGGGTTTTAAATGTAATTACTGATAAGATATGTAGAATTTTGAATAAATGAGGCCAACTGATTAAAAACCATGAAGATTCATGCTCCTTTAATGTCCTTGTATTATTCCCTAATATGCTCCAATTCTACATGAAAGTTGCATTAACAGGCTGATAAAATACACATAAGAAATTACACATAACTCATCAGGAAAAACATAAGCACGCAAAATGCCTGAGACATAGAAGTCAACTGCAACAACCGTCAGATCAATGGATCTGATTTTCAATACCTTTCTTTCTTACAATGAGACCTAGCTTTTTAACTTTAGGTATATGCGTGTGTACATGTATATAAGTACAGGGGCACATATATTTGTTAACTGAAATGTTTTTCCCCTTCTGTTCCCAGAGGTGCCCTGGTTCACCCCCAGACACTGTTGAGTGCACCCTTGGCAGTGACATGGCTGCAGAGGATACCCAGGAAACAGTCACAGCCCCTATGAGGCACATCAGCACCACTCAATGGTTCAAAGAGGATGCTTTTTAGCATCACATGGCACTCCCTCCCACCCGTGAAGGCTGAGCGTTCAGCTTTCAAAGGGTTTCCAACTCCTTCTGGCCCAAGGCCTCTGCTTTTATAACAGCCTTTGATTCATGAACATTCATCATGTCTCCTGCTCAAATGTTTTGGGAAGCTGACTCATACCTTCAAATATAAAGCGAGCATCACCAGCAGATATAACCAACAGAGCATAAATACAGCTATACTTCCTGAAGCCTTTACTACGTACTGTGTTATTAAGCTGTTCCATATCAGTTAAAGCAGGACCAAGGCAGACAATCTACTTTTAATCCCTGCCACTGGTTTCTTGCCATTACTAGCTCATTACTCAATGCCTTCCAATTCACCAGCCCATAAAATGGAAATAAGCTGCCTTCTTTGCTCTCCAGGTGATTTGAGGCTTATCAAATAAAAACTGCTAAAGTTTGAGCAGATTAGCATAAAAGAGATGAGCATAAAATATAAACCCTCTAAACAAGTAACTTCATGTGTGGATTAGGACAGGATTTGACTCTTGAATTACTCCTAATGCATCATATTTCTACAAAATTAAGTACCTGAGAAGAGAGAGCACATCTATTAAATTTGCTGACAGGATACATGTCAGTATGAAAGTCTACAACACAAAAAAAAGCTAGCAACAATGTTACAACACAGAAACAAAAAGCCCCAAATGTAATCTGATATACAAATCATTTACAAATGAGATGAAATCTCTTGATCATTCCCTTTTCTTCCTTTCTTTCATGCCATGAACCGAGGTTTACGGTGCTAAGGCAGACAGCAAAATATTTGAGAAAGGAAACGGAGATAACCGGCATAAAAATTTGGCTGAGAGACAGAGCAGGAGCATAGTAAAGAGTATTTAAGAGCAGAAAATGCCGCATTGTCTTCCCACAGACCTATCATCTGGCTAGAAATCTGAGGCACGCTGAAACATGCAAGTTCACTACAACACCTAGCAGTATTTTACAGAATATAATCTATTACTAGGCCAAAGAGAGGTAACAAATGTTATCTCTTTTGCTGCTGACATTAAACAGAAAAGGCAAAGTGCAAGGTCCTCTGGAGTACTCACATTTTCCGGTATACTGGGAAGCTCTCTGGTGTCAGGCACAGTAAAGTAAGAGTGCTAAAAAGAAGAGCAAATATTTATTATTGCAATATTGTCAAAAGCAATCTAAATGTATTGCTTGGTACTAGTAAGAGCAGTAATAGCAGTTGCTCAGCTAAGTAAAAACGACAGAACATTTGTTACCAACTACCAGTATAACTTCTTTGTCATGGGTTTCAAAGCTCAATTCTCAGATCACACATGCAATACGAAATGCATTAGGACAGAAAGTATCAAATGCTCCTGAAAAGTCGTAGTACATTTTTTTGTTCTTCAGAGACACCGATACAGACTCACACAATGTTTGACATATGATAAGGAAACTCCAAGGCAGTCTATAATTCAAGACATCTTTTCCACATCTTGCATGATGGACTACAGGAAACATCAGCACACAGGTCCCTTTCTGACTTACAGCATCCCTAAATTTCATTCAAGAAAATGGTGAAGGTATGGAAATTTGCTGAAAAATTCTTCCTAATTTTTAACTTTTATGCCCACTGACCTGGAAAATATTATTAAAGTTCTACATCACTTTTATATGCCTCAAAAAACACATTTTGAAAGACCACATCTCATAATCCATGATACTGCTACCTTTTTTAACTGTCTGCATTCCAAAAGACCAGGTTCACTCTAGTTCCCAATGACCATGCATGACCTGCACGATCCTTGGTTAGGTCTTTGAGAAAGGAAAAGAGAAAATACAACCCAATCGCTTTTGTAAATCAGCATTGTATACAATTTAGATTATTTTTAAGGGTTTCATAATCTGTTTTAGGGCTACTGATTAATTCCTTGCTGAAGCTTTGAAGGTGGTTTATTCCTGGCATAGTTCCACAACTGGCACAATTTTCTTGTGGAGATATATGTATGTGTGTGTATATATATATATATATCTCAGACATTTCAGTGCTTCATGAACAGTCTATAACCCAAAATAGCAAGGGGCTATAACAGCCACACTGAATATAGACACTAAATGTATAAACACAATTTTTCGCTTTTTGATCTAGCACTGTTTCAGTTTAGTTCAAAAGATGCAATGCAAAGATACAGGAACACTATCTACAACTATATCACATATAGGAACCTCACCCTGACCCCAAAGCAGGCTTGTAAACAGTCAAAAGAAAATGTGTAAAGACACCCCAGTGAACAGCCCCTTGGCTGCTTCTTTTATATCCTTTCTTGCTTCATCACCCATGAAATGTCTGAGACAAGGGGAGACCAGCAGCATTCCTTGAAACCACTGGTATGAAAAACCTGAAATATCCCAACTGATCATTGCCTTTTGAGACAGCTCGCCCCCTAAACAGAAATGCTGTTCAGAAAAGAGCTTGCCTCCAGAGGACTGGGACACTGCTGCTGCCAGCTGGTGACCTACTGAGGCCAAACAACTGCTACCTGTCGACTGACATTACAGGGCGAAGTGATGAGAGTAAGCTGCTCGTTGCCAAAAAGTACTTTAGAAGGAGTAAAGGAAATGAGAGGGAGAACTGTGGCTGCACACACCACTGGTTTCCATGTGAACTCTAAATGACTAATTGGCAACTGCAGTAATGTGCATCTCAAGTAGTTTTTCACTACTGGCTGGAACACAAAGTTGTTCTGCAAAAATTAATATGAAGACAAAAAACCCAAAAGACTAAATTCCAAATACAGTCATGTCAATAAAAGCCCACATTTCTATTCTTTCGGTCTTCTTTAATTTTCCTAGAAGATATAAGTATTAAATAAGTCCTTTTTTTGTGGGTGTGGGTGTTTTTTTTCTTTGGGGGAGGAAAAGGAATCAAAAGATGTGCTAAACAGCTAATACTCAAAATGCTGCTAGGACAGGTAGGTGACTGTTTGCTTTCCAGCTTTGTCCCCCTTGCAAACCTGCAAGATCTAGGAGCTCTGCAGAAGTGTGGGCAATAAATGTCATGTTGCTGCTCCGTGACCTCTTGCAGGTCACAGACGATAGGGCGAGAAATTTCCACGGGGAATATACACAATCTTCTTCCAATCAAAGAACAGCATTTCAAAGATATTTGAGGTTAAGGAAAGGGAAACAGAGGGCCCCAAATGTGAAAAGTGGAATTTCACAGCTCTGTGTCCTCACAGGAAAACAACATCTGTGTACCAAGTTCCAAAAAGGAGAATTGCTTTTGACATTCCTCTATTGTGATACGTAATGAAAAGTGAACACCTCACTTTATGTCTCTCCCACTCCACTTACCACTCCAAGATGAACAGAGGTTCCTGGCTCAGGGATGGCAAGTTTATGAAACGTTTCTAGGAGCTCACTCCTTTGACTATCCTGAAATAAGAAGAAGGAAAAAAAAAAAAGAATAAGAAGAATATTAAGTAGCCATAGCTGTAACAAGCAGAACTCCAAGACAGAAGGGCAACAGTTGTGGAACTGGGGGCTTAGATAACTTGCAAATATAAAGAAAAATGTGAAATAGATTTATACCTTAGACTATGAAGTTTCCTCTGAAAGCTGTTTTACAACATGATTTTTTATGAATACTACTTTTCTCAGATGTATTTCTACATATTTCTGCAACACAGAGTCACAACCTATGCACTACATAGTTACTAAGCTCAGAGCAAGCCAGTTTTTACCGCAACTTCTTTGTAACATCTCACTGGCTCTAGGGTAAAGCCAAATGCATATAATCCATTTGGATGAAGATGTGATCCTGAGTGCTTCTACCTTAAACATGAATGATTCTGACAAATGCAAAATACAGTTATTACCACAAATTGGTAATAAATCAACCTAACTGGGAAGATTATACCTGTAATACTTTAAATACATGAAACCAGGCTAGGTGCTGCAATCACATATATGTGATTTCTCTGTATCATGAATTATGATTTATAAACCTACAAGCAAATTTTAATGGCTTAGTTCAAACTGCAATATGGGAATTGCATGGATGTGCTGAATACAGTTCAGGTATGTGCAGTATGGGTGACTGCAGAAAAACCACTAAATTGGGCTGGATCCACAGTCACAGTCTTGGACTTCACCTTTTCCCCAAAATAATTTATTTGCAAAGGCACTTGCCCAGCTTTCAGCTTGGCTGAATATGACCTTCTGTGTAACTGCATCGTACAGATTAGTAATTCCCATGGTCATCTCTGATACAAGCACTTCTTAAACCGGCTTGTTTTTATCCTCTCTCCCTCATTCGATACTGAAGCAGGGAAAAGAAGGATTAGTGCGTTACCTGTCCTTTTGCTGAATAATCTGCCAAGACATTGAGCAGCTTATAGAAGACTTCAAACCATGGGAGGTAACTAAAAAGAAAACAGAAAGCAAAAACCTACATTTAATTTGCAAAATCTCAGTTATTAAATCCAACATTGCTGGCCTTTATGATACAGATGCATCCTACCAACACCCTTCACTGAACATGGCACTTCACAAATACCTCTTAGGAAAGCCACATGAGACCTTCCATTTGAAGGACACTGCCAAAGGTTGTGGCAACCCTTTCCTTTGAGGACTGAGATTCAGTGCTTCCTCCTTCCCAGTGGAAGCAAGGAGCTCACCCTCCTCCTCATCCCCATATAACAAACATACAACCCAAAGAAAGTTTTCAGACTGCAAGGTAAATGCACACTGATGTTCATGTATGGTGGAACATTTGTAATCATAGTGGTTTCCCAAAGTCTATGTGGAATAGCTCTGTACAGCCCAGCAAACCACAGACACACAGTTATAAATCTGATACAACTCAATCTTTTAAACTGCATAACCAGTATCTCAGTTTTTAACTGCTGTCAAATGCTATTTCATCACAGTGCTTAGGCCAGCCCTTAGGTCAAACAGAAACTTTACCCTTAGTAAATTTGCACTCATCTTACACAAGAAAGAGAGAAACAAAATTAAGACAAACACGCAGAAATATCACATTCATTCCATAAAATAAGGTAGAGAGCTAAGATGCTGCTTTTCACTACAGTCTGCTTTGGTATGATTTTGTGCCTTATTTTCACAGCATGGTTCTTTATTTCAATTCCTGTTAAATACCAGAGGAATCTCCCCTCAGCTGTAGCAAATAGCAACGCAGGTTTGTATGACGCACAAACAGATTCTTCTTTTAATCACAGATGCTTTCTGAAGCAAATGGGTTCTATTTTGATATAGTTAGACAGAATTTAAAGCTTTTATAAAATATGACTACATCCTGACAACTGTAAAGAATTAAGTGCCCCATGGTTCCTAACTGTACAGCTTTTAGTAATAAATGAAGTGAGAAGCTATATATGAGACAGATAAAGTGAATGGCACTCCATCATTAACATTTGTTTGAAGGCTGCAAATGCTACTGTAAAATGTAAGTAGCTTATCAAAATATACTGATAAGCAACTTAACTTTTCATGTTATATGACAGTATTATCATTTAAATTAATACGCTCTAAGCATCTTTACAAACTATGTATTAGAATAGAGCAGACAGACAATTACCACTTTAAACAGCATTTAAGTTTGGCATTATATTGTAAACAATCAAGAAGGATTACTTAGAAGATAAGTTTCTTTCTCTCTGTTTTGTTAAATAAACTTCAGCAGAGTTAAAAGCCATTACAAGGGTAACAAGAAATCCTCTCAAAACCTATCTGCTAAGTAGAGATTAAGAACCTGGTAAACAAATCCCTGCAAGGCAGCTATCAAAGGAGTTTGAAAAGACAGAAAACCAAGAAAGCTCCCTGATGTTATGAAACCAAACCTTGCTTCAGGAAGGCATATTTAAAGTTCTACTTAATTGCTCAGGGACCTTCCTGGAAAACTACATTGATGGAATTACAATAAGAATCTTCTAAAATATTACTCTGTTTATAATGTATGTGTATAATGTACTGTAACAGCAACAAAAAAATGTGAGTTACCGCAGTGTCCGCTTTGCCAGAGCTGCACTGCGTTTGAAGCCTTAACCCAGACCACGTCCCCAGCACCGCTGGCGACACGTGGTGCCTGTACCCAATGGGACAATGCCTGTTCTGAACCCAAGGTCGGGTTCTTTCTTCAAAGATTTACTCACCTGTATTGCTGGGACCTGTTTGTTCACATCCAAACCTCACCTCACTACAGACTGGAGCACACCAAACGTGACAGATCTGCACGTTCTATCCCCACGAATACTCCATCCACATCCAATTTTAATTCTTTAGCTCAGCACCTAGAAAATAGCTTCTATGACTCTCATCAAGCCTCATATTCACACAACATCAAAGCATCAGCAAACCCTCCATCCACCAGACGGGAAGGCAGAGCCCTATTTCTCTACACTCCTTGTTGGCTTTCCCATTTCTCTTCAGTGTTGTATCTTGCATTGAACTTCACTATTATCCTTTGTTTAACACTAACTCCGCCTTCTTTTAATCAGTGTTTTCCAAGTAATGATTTCGCATCACAGCATAAGCACTTCTTTTTCTCATTTTAAGAACACCTTTCCATTTTGAGGAGAGATGTCTTCTGTGTTGAAGTGAAGAAGTTAGTGGGCATTTGGAGACCTCAGCACAGAACAATACACAGGAAGCCATGTAGCTCTTGCTTGAGGGAGGTGCAAGACAAGATAAAACAAATCAACCCAACACAATATTGTGTAAATTGTGTAGATGATCTCGCAGCAATTTTCACCTCCCTCCTTCACAGAATTCAGGATGTCTCTCACCCTGAAACCCCTGGATACGTTAGAAAACTTCAGCACTTTTACTTCATCACTTATTCCATGTGTTTACTACTCAGAGTGAAACAATCCTGCTTTTATTAGACCAAACTGTGACCAGTTCCAGTTGCCCCTCTCCCAAACATTAAAATCAGGAAATACAGTTATCTGCATGTTCCTAAATTGCTGTCAAAAGGAAAAAAAGAGACATGGATGTTGTCTTACAAAAAGCAAATCCTTGAGGCAGGCTCTAAACAACCCTCCAAAGAAATGGAGGTTGAATTTATAACCAAAAACTTTCTGTACCACATGCAACTTAAGTAGCACAACTAGTAGCACTACTGAAGATTTATGGCTTATGACTTGCTCATATTTAATTTGTAACCAAACACTTCCCCTTCCTCTTAGCTACCTTAGAACTTTTGATTAACTCTTGTTTTCACAGGTCATAGGTTAAACAAAGGAAGGGAAGCGCTCTGGAGTGAGACTGCCCAGAGCACCATGGCACGGGAGCACATGAACCCGCGCACACACATCCCCCTTCCAGCAACATCAAAAAGCGATAGACTGGAGATTCTTCAAGGGAGTTGAAGTTCAAAGACTCCAATGAGCATAAATCAGCTTGTGGTTGAAGAGTAAACAAAAATAAAATGGCAATCTGAAATGTTCATTTTGCTAAATTACACCTGTTTTCAGTTTCCTTGCACACACACACATGCACACACAGTGACATATTTGCCACAAATCATGCGAATCAAATCAAAGCCTAATCAAATTAGGCCTCTGCAAGCTGAGAGACCCGCTTGGGGCTCTGCTGCTCTCTCCCTCTGAGCCTCCAGTGTGCAGTGCAGCCTCAGTGCTGGAGAGAGGCCAGTCTGATGGGAAGCAAGTACGAGCACAGGAAAACTGCTTATTATGCTCCATAAGGTCTGCACAAACTCTACAGCACAAGTTGCACAGTACCTTATTCAGTAACTCATATGTCATCACCTTTTTAGTGCACTCCTTGAAAGTACAAAACATCATTAGTTACATGTGTCACAGCAATTAGGGTCAGTCAGAACGTTAAGACAACAGCACTGTATTGCAGCTTGTAAATACAAATGGTTCCAAAATGTGGTGTTTAAAGAGCAGTGGTGCAAACCCAACCACCGGGAGGCCAGCCTGAGACAACAGGAAAGATGTAAAAACGAGCACATTAGCATGATAACAAACCCCTGCATAGGGTGTTTGCAGTTATGAGGAGGTTCACCTTCACTGGAGTAGACTTACAACAAGTAGAGCTTTTGTACCTGGACTGCAGAGGGAGATGCAGGGATGGGGGAAGAGGAGGGACGTAGCCAGCCAGTGCTGCGGAAGGAACAACTCGCCAACCAGCACTGTGCTCACAAGCCTGACCTATACTTCAAAAGTTACACTCACCAGAAAATGTCATCACCCAATACTGGCTGCTCCACAGATGAAGCTGCTGCACTGAGTCAATTCAGCTTTGTGTTTTTCGACAGATTAATCCACTCGTGCGCTTCAACATGTGAAAGATAAAAAACAACCCCATCACAGCAACACATGTGAGGTCAGGTTTTCTGACCTCCAGAAAGCACTGCAACCAACAGAGGGCATTAAGCTAGTGCTTTGGAAATAAAGCAACTGTGCTTCTATGCACATATGTACACACATAAACCATGCATGTATACATGTGTGCATATTGCCACTACCCAGCAAGAAGGATGCAGTTAAGAGATGAGCCAACAGAACTCCCTTTGGTGATACCAAGTTGCCAACAGCAATGAGATCAGACACACAGCTTCAGTACAGGGTTTTGGCTGCTGCCCTATGTAAAATGAATCAAACTCAGTAGTTATTGGACTTGAAACTGAACAAACTTATGAGAGCTACTGGTTTATCTCCATCAGAATATAGACTGTCTTCCAACAGACACATCAGCCCAAAGAATGATAACTCCATTAGAGAGACTGTCTATATGCAAAGGCTAATTTAATCAAATGGAATTGCCCAAGAGTAAGTAAGAAAATGCAAGATCTTTCAGAACAGCAAAGTGGAAATGTGTAAGCAACATATCTACACTGGCATCCAGCTGATTTCTTTATCAAGTAAAAGATGCCTTCCTCAGGAAAAGCAGCTGTTTCTCATCTACTTCTGAAGCATTACTAATGAACAGAGGGTTTGATAATAAATAGACTTTCTTTGAAATGTGAAAATTTCACCATTATCATTTCTTTTGATATCTTTTGAGCACTCATTAGCATGAAGGAGAGTTATAAGTTATAACATGCACTACTAAATCACTGCAGCTATCTCACAAATGCCATATACATCCAAGGACAAAGGTAAAGAGAGGCTGGGCAAACATGGTATGGAACTAGGAATTGTTGTTAGAAAAGTACATCTCCAATGAAGTCAATGTACAAAGAGACAGATTTTCCAGTGTTGATTGTTACAGACAACAAATGAAGGAGAAAGCAAGAGCAAGAACGTTGTGAAAGCTGAACTCATCTAAATAAACTCCCATGGAGCAGTGAAGAGTTTCAAAGTGTAGTGAGAACTTCAGCAGCAAAACCCCTCCATATTCCAGCGTGGCAGCAGCAAAGCCCAGTGGCAACAGG